CCATTGTCAACTGCAATCCTGCAACTGTCCCCTTACTGATCACCTTCCTTCACATTTGTACATGCACAGTACAGCTTCAGAGGACTCCGTCAAACATAACAGATCCAGAAGTTCATACAATTTTATGTATTTACTTCAAAAAAGTGATCTACACTCAAACTATATTACAAATGTGCTCTACAGAAAGGAGTGATACAACCACCTTCCAATTAAAACATCTCAGTAGATGATCTGTCTAATCCACTGATTGTAGTAGGACCAACTGAAGTATCAATTTGTCAGCAACTATTTCAGAGAGGTAATGAAATCTATATAAAAAAATTCTCACAAGAATCTCAAACATTTGTTTTTGAACTCCAAACCCTTCTACAAGGTTTTGCTACTGCCAGAATACAAGTGAAGAAATTATTTCCGCTAGAAAAAGATTAAAATTTGCTCTGGCCTGCAACATCCAACAGATGAGATTATTTAGCTACAACTTGTTTCTGTCAGAGACACAGTGTTCATTTCCTCCCTTCATGGTTCCGCTGGCAACACGGGCAAAGAGCAGTAAGTAGCCACATACCAGTTCTGAAAACATTAATCATCAGGAGAAAGCTATTTTTAGGTTTCTTGGGTAATATTTACTTGCAGATGATGCAATTGTAATCTATTGCTTCAAACACCTATAAAGGATACATTTAATGTGAAATTCAAGGTTAAAAGGTACACAGACTATCTTATTTTTACTTCAGAAAAGACAAAAATGTTTAGGACAATTGCTCAGAATTTGCAGCTTTTATTTTGCTTTTAGTATATTCCTGTCCAAAAAAAACCAAAACAAAACAAAAAAACTCATGCTAATCAGTATAATGTATTACTGAAACAGAATAATATATTGTTTGGATAGTAAAGGAGCAACAGCTTTTACTTGATTTAAAAGTGTTCCCATATTTTTCTGAAAATCAGACACAGATATACTCTTAACTTTGTAACTAAAAATTGGATGAAAAGCTGCTTGAAAAACTATTTTCCAAGAGTAATCAGATGTCCCCTACCAAATGGGAAGAACATGTACTTCCAGGTTCAAGAGCTCACATCTTTCTTCACACTAGACAAGGTTGTAGAGAAGTGATTCCAAGCTACAGAAGGATTGGGAGCACTTTGGAGGACAAAATTATAATTCAAGATAATTTTGATAAGTGGAAGGAGTGGTTTGAAAATAGGATGCAGTTATGTAAGTATAGCTGCAAAGCAGGAACCTACAACAGTACAATTATAAGATGGGAACAACTGAGTAGGCAGCAGCTCTGCAGAGAAAGATAGAGAGCTACAGTGAATCACAGACTGCATGAGTCAACAATTCTAGGCTGAGGCAGAAATGGCAAACATCATATTTTAGTGAATAAATCAGAGTATTATAGGTTGGAAACATGAAATAATTTTTCAAATTTACCTTGTATTGGTAATGGTCTAGCTGGACCAACAGATCTAGATTTAAGTACAGAGCTCATGTAAACCAACCACAGGAAAAAATTATACAAAAAAAACAACCAAGCAAAAAAAAAAAAAAAAAAACCAACCCCAAACCCCTAATAAACACAGAGAGCAAAAAAAGTTTGACCTACCAAAAAGAAAAAAAGTCTGTTTTGTCGAAGCAATATAACAGACATTGCTTTAATTGGATGAAAGGGGTTATAAAAACGTAACATGCCCACCATTCTCAAAAGCACCAGGAAGAGGGCAAGTAATGGCTTAACAACATAGCAAAAGACATCAAGATTCTGCTCAAACATCTAAAAATAAATAAGGTCCAAACTGACTAAAAGACATACCATTGAAAGTCTATAATTAGTGATTTTCAAAAAACAGGCTAAACAAACATCTGTCATGAATGATGTATATTTAGCTCAGCCTGTCTTTAGGAGCATGGATGAATAACAAATTTTTCAGGCACATTTTCTATTACTATAGCAGACTGAGAAGGCAAAAACTTCACATTCCAAAATAGTGAAACACACTTCTGGTCCTTTAGAAATATAAAGAGCACAGACTACCACAACATCAAGACATTTTTCAACTTATTCCTATGAAGTAAGTCCCCTCATACTTTTAAGTTGAAGGTTATAGTGTCTATACAGTTCACCCAGTTCTTTGGGAAGAAATTTTTCTATACTGAAAAAGTTAACTGCCAGCATTGGCAGACAAGGCTGAAATTAAATATTTGCAGATTTAATTTCTAAAGTCAAACATTCCCCCTTTTATACTTCACACTTGTTAATTTTCTCCCTTTCAGTTACTGCAAGTTGTGTCACTTAAACAATTTGATTATTACAAAACATTTAATCTGACATGTCCTAACACTGATATAAAATCCTACACACCCTCAACACTTAAATATTAATTCTTTCTTCAATTAGTATTTCTTAAACAATTCTTCATACAAGATGCCTTCAACATGACTGTTAATGCATTCTTACTCTCCTATGACACCTCACTAATAGGACAACTTATTTTGACCTGCCTGTGTTGTGGGTCAAACTCTACACTTGCAGTTTAACCAAGGACAATAGCAAGAGAATTTTTCACTCAGTTTTTGGACCCAGGTATCAAAGAAACACCAGAAGTCATTACTAATGCTAATGAACAGTACCTATTTCAAGTCTTTTTCAAGAGCAGATCCACAACACAGAGTCAAGCTGTATCCGCATCTCTGATTGTGGATTGAAATATGGTTTCAAGACTGTGAAAGCCATCCACTGAAACATGTACCCCTTTGATACATAAAGATTGTGATTTCTTTAATGGATACATGTTTGGAACAACCTATGCTTTTCCTTAATGAAACTGAACTGCATTACTTTGTTTCATAGGGAAAAACCCTTCACCTTCCCCTGCAGGTTTAGGGAACTTCAATACTTCAAGCATAAAAAAAGAAATAAAATGTGGCACCCATAAAAACACTAATCATCCTTTGTGTTTCTCTGTACAAATGTATATAGCAATAGTTAGAAGACATGACTGAGGCTGTGATTTATTCCCAAGAACTAAAATAATTTAACAAACCCAAACTTCCTTCCTTCTTGGAAAAGGTGAAGGTCAGTTCTTCTGTTTCCCTCCAAGTATAAAGGAAGCATTTGTACTGCAGACATGCAAGTCCTGTATACTGTCTTTCCCTACTTCAGCCAAACTTTTCTTGGACATTTCTAGTTACATTAACCAAGTGGAAGAACTGGGACCAGAAACACTACAATGAACTGGGACCACACACTACAAATGTGTGTGCTTACCTCTCTTCCTTCTGTTACATTACTGCACTGTTTAGAGAGCAGATGGAGCAATTATTCCCTCTAATCATGTTCCATTTGAGCATCTCAGAACAACCCCAGTCATGAAAGGAAAGAGTAAAGGAATTTGTTTTGGATCCCACTTTTATAGAAAAGTAGCAGAAAAGTACCCTGCAAGTGGCTTTACACATCCAATAGAAACTCAACCAGTATGAACCAAGACATTTCAACCATAGGTAGGGAATCTGTCAAACTCCAGTAGAAAAAAGTTTTCAGGTTAGAAGGCTAGGTTATATAATTGCACAAGCATTGTACACTCAGAATCCTATGAGTAAACCCTATGGAACCAAGCTACCTAAAAATAAAATGATCTCTGAAAATGTTCAATTAGGTACTTCCAAGAATTTTCTCTACTGTTTTACCTCTCATACCTGCATAGCTAATAAAGCCATATGTCAAAATATTATTTGTCCAGATTTCACAAAGAAAAGCAAGTATACTTTATTGACAAATCTTTATATGGAAACAATATTTTGATCTTTTCTTTCTTTTTGAAGTGATGCACTCACTGAAATTCATTAGATTCAAGCACTTTAAAAGTGGCTTTTTGGAAGCATTGCATCAAATATTATGAGTTCCCAGAAGCGTGTCCCACAAAGACATGCTAAATACATCCTAACCCTGGCTAATACATAACAGCACCCTGGCCCTAAATGTAAAAGGTGCAATACTCCATAAGGAGGTACCTTTTCCTGTTATTTTATGAAAAAAAACAAGGGCAAAAGCAATGATTGTTGATATCTACCTCACCTTTCAAAAACCCCATTATTTTTAGTGAACAGAATATTAAATTATTACAATACTACAGCTATACTAAAGCCAAAACCCACAAACAATAAGCAAACAACTCCAACTCCCCCCAAAAAGCTAAAATAATTAATTTAAAAAAACCCTAAAAAAATTCCAAAACAAACAAACAAAACCCAAACAAAAACCCCCCAGCTTGGTAAATTTTCAAAATGCTTCCCTCAGAAGACCTCTGCAAGTCTGGTATTCCTCAAGGCCCAATAATATTTCAGGCACAGAATAATAGGCCTGGTATTTCTCAAGGTCCAAGGTTTTCAACGACAGAGCACTGGTGTCTTTTGGAGGCATTACAAATCGATTCCATTTACACTTACAGACAAGGAGAGCCTTCTGTATTGTGCAGGCCAAAACCTGGCACTAAATGCTCTTTTCCCTGAAACCTTTCTTATTGCTGAACCACTCAAATGGCTTCAGGCTACTGTCACACATGTCAGAACCCATTTCCATTGCTAGCACCCAATTCTGCTCCTAAGCAATACCAGTAAAAATTTCAAGATGACAGACGAACGTAGATTGCTGGGGTTTTTTCACATTGTAGAAGTACGACCAGACTAATAAATAAAATACCATTTACAGAGATCGATTCACTCAAGCAAAACAATATGAGCGCCAATACACAAAATTTACTTGCTGATGGAAACAGTGGGGCTACTCCAAAAAGACTAAGTGTAATTAAGGAAAAACAAAAGAAAAACAAAAAACCTCACAAGGGGTAAGAGATCTTAGGGAAAGGGAAAAGACCAAAAGCATTTCCCACACATCTCCCTCCCTTCTCAGCTCCTCAGGGAATGGCTCGCACGTCCTCAGTAGCGAAGCAACCAAGCAGGAACCAGCATCAAAGAAAGGGAAGAAGGAGACGCCACCTACCTGTCCCAAAGGCTTTGGCCACCAGCCAGGCCAGATTACAGGCGATTTTCGCTCGGGAGAAATCATAATGGTCAAAGGGTTTGATGGCAGGAACAATGAAAGTCTTCCTCATCTCCTTGGCGTCTGCGGCATCCCCCATCTTCTCACAGGACCCCCGGCAACTGGGAACTTACATGGTTGTTTCTCCGTCCTCCTCCTCCCACGGCCGGGAGAGCCGGCTGTAAATACGCCGACAGCAGCTGAGAGCAGCGCCGGACCCAGCTGTCCGTAAAGGGCTAACGCCGCCTCCCGCCTTTCTCTGCACAGGAATGTAGCCGAGTCCGAGTGTCCTCTTCTTCCTCCTCCTCCTCCTCGCTCTTTGTCTCAATTCACTCACGCCGCCGTCCCTCCGCCTCCGAAAAAATGCCCCCGGCGGCCCCGGCCCCGCGTTCCCTGGGGAGACCCTGCGGCCAGGGCTGGGCGCCCCAGGCGGCCGCCAGTCCCCCGGCCCGGGGCGGGAGCCGCCGGCAGGGCCCCCGCAGCCACCGCAGGCCGGGACGCGGCCCTTCCCAGCGCCGGGATGTCAAAACGCCGGGGTCCGGCCCCAAAACGCCGCACGGCCCCGCAACGCCCCAGCGGCGGCCTCTGCGGGCCGGGAGCAGAGCCGGCTCCCCAACGCTGCCCGGCGGCCCCGGCGCCCCCCGGCCGGCCCCCGCTGCCCGCGCCGCTCGGCGATGCCGCTGCGGTTCTCCACCCGCGGCTGCCGCACTGGATGGGCGAAGGCGGCTGCGCATGTGCCGCCAGCGCCTCCCCGCCCGGGCGGGGCGGGAGCCCGAGGGGCAGCGCCGGGGCGGGCCCGGGCCGCCCCCTCCCTACAGGGGCTGCGGGCGCCGCGTCAGGCGGGGTCGCTCGAGGTGGGTCCGGCCTGGGGTGGGGCGGCCTCGGGAGCGCGGACAGGCCCGGCCCAGCCAAGCCTTCGCCCGGCGGCAGCGGGAGGAGGAGGGGGGAGCGTTTCCCGCGATCAGGGGGCGCCGGCGGCGCTGGGAAAGGCTGGGAAAGGGCGGTGTCCCTCGGCCGCGGGTCCACCCGCCCCGGCGTCGCCGCTCTCCACAGCGAGGCCGGACGGGCCCGCTGCGGTGTCGGCGGGGAAGGTCGGGATCAGCCCCGCGTGTCTCGTCTGTAAGGGGGGCTGAGGAACCGCCCGGATTCAGGGGAGCCCCGCCGGCCGGGGTCGCGGTGACTGGAGCACGGAGCGCTGCCGAGGAGGCGGGCTGAGCATCCCCTGCCCTGTGCATTTGTCACTCCAATTTTAAATCGTGTCTATATATAACTTTGAGAATACTCGGGTAAAAAAAATTACATAGCCTTAAAATGGTTGAGGGCCTGGTCACGTAATCACTGTAATAGCAGCAAGAGTAGCGATCTGCGCTAGAGACCATCTCCTGTCTTGCTCACACATACCTGGGCTGTTTTGGGGCGCTCACAGAATCCCTGTAACAGTGGCTGCGTGGAGGGAACATTAGTCACGGGAGGAAGCAGTGACTGCGCGATTAATGACTCAAACAGAACTGGATGGGTTGGCGGCTTCCGAGTGCGGGGCTGAGGGTGCGGCCGTGCTGTGAGGGGAGCCCGGCGGAGGCTGTGCCTGCCTCGGCACGGGCACTGTGTCATCGGTGACCCGCGGCGCCACAGGGTGGAAATCGCCACGTCTGGGCAGCAAATAGTTATTGTAGCCTATTGTGGATATATTGTTATTGTATGTATGTATATATGTATATAAAAACCATATGTATGGTTTGGAGTAATGTCTAAGTCTGCCCTTCTTCCCCTAAAGAATAATTAGACAAAGTCTAAGCATGACATAGTAAGATTTCAAATAATATTCCAGCCAGAGTGTTATTTCTTTGTGTTTCAAGTGGACCGTGAATTGATCTGCACAGATTTTCTCATTCCTCTATGTCTGTGTGTGCTTCTAGCACTTCAGGTGCTCAGGGAGACAAACACCACGACTATGAGGCAGAGTACTTTACAGTTTTACTGACATGTAGCTATATTAATTAGTAATGAGTAAATGAAGGGGTTGTGGAGGTCAACATTTGAAGAAATTGTTGCTGAGTATTCCCCATACACTCTCTGGGATGGGATTCCCAAATTGTCATGCATACCACTCATAAGTGGTGCATACCTAGCTACAAAACTAGGAGCTGCTGTGGGCAGTACTCAGCAGAATGGAGGGGAGGAGGAAAATTGAGAAATCCTTGCTTTAGCAGGCTAAGGATTGAAATTCCCAGACCCTCTGCAGTAGAAATAGTAATAATAATACCAAATTAATATACAGGTGCACTTGGAAAATGTTCTCTATTAAGCAAGACTGTATGTAGGAGGATACAGTATGGGTAAATGAAGGTGGTATAGAATGTAATCTTATCCCCTAAAGAGTTGCAGCTGAACCAATTACTAAAGCTTAGGAGCAGGCCTGATGTTAACAGGCCATACCTGTCGCCAATAAGAAGAGTGCTATAAAAGAGTGGATTGGTTGGCTAAGGGGGAAACTGGAGTCAGTTGGCTGCTGCAAGGATGAGAAAGAGTCAGTGCCTAGAGGAGCTGCCTACAAGAAACATCAAGGAGGTATGAAATTGGCAATATGGAACCTTTGCAATATAATTATAATAGAACTCTTGCGCTATAATGACAACAACTATATACGCTTAGTTTTCAACAATTAATATTTGCACATTTTCCTGAATTATTTTTTTATGCATACTCTGGAAATAAGTTACATTAGACACTTCCCAGTTGTTTTAACTGTTTTTTACACTGCTAATAGAAAAAAAAATAATTCTTTCTGCATGTTTAATAACGAACACCTGAAATTCTTAAGCTTTAAAACCTCAAATGATTAGAGCTAAGAAGAAAAAATGGAACTATGTTCCAGGTCCCAATTAATTTCTTTCTTGTATGTCTGAGAAAATACCTCAAAATTAGATCAGCCTATAGGAAAACATGTTTAGAAACACTGTAGGGCCGTTATTTAGCTATAATGGAGTTTTTTGTGGGTGCAGCACTGTGCTGATGAAACCTGTTTGGAGTCACCAAACCAAATCTGAAAAAGCTGTCTTGTGGTAACTGCAAAGAGGGGTTTCACTTGCTTAATGCTCTTAAAAGAGAATGCATGAATATAAAATCTAATATAAGTAAGTGCAAAAGAAGATATTACCACCAGTTGCTGGAGTGCCTGTGCCAGTTCTTCTACTTTTGCAAACATGCCAAAATGCCATCTTGCTTACTGCATTGTCAAAGATATCAACAGCCAATATGGAAAATGATTAAAATCTGCTCTAATTGCTCAGAGTAAATAAACAGGAAAACTGAATGAGGAGTCATCCCTTTCTGCTCTGATCCTGTTTATACATCTTGAAATATTTTAAATAGTGATACTTTCCTGTATGCAAGCTTTCTGCTGCACAGTGTTCTGTACTTTAGCGTTAATTCTGAGCAGAAAGGCAAAGTATTAAAACAAGCATCTCACAGATTTTTATTTTACCTTCTTTCTCCCTTCCTTTCGCCTCCCTCTACCCCAAATTAGATTCCCTTTTGACTTGTTTTATCCTGTGATTACATCATAAGCCTGATTGTTCACTGTCATGTGTCTGGCCATTTTCACAGTGCATGTACCAAGCCTGTAGTGAGCATCAGGCAAAGGAACCAATATGAAGCTGTGAATAATGGTGTGGATGGAAGTTCTAATGGTTCTAACCTTGGGAGATGGTGGAATGAGTCCTGACTAACAATTGCATACATTTTTTCACTTGTTTTAAGATTCACTTAGCTTCTGAAGAGGCTATGTGTAGAATAGAGCCTGTAGACTAATTTCAGGCCAGCACTGGAGTACAGTATTCAATCTGGAATAACATTTCATGCATAGTTTCTTCCTTTACAATGCTTGATGATAAAGGCAAAGAAAAATGTTTTAAGTTAGAAATACCATAGCTGCTTTTGCAGAGGCACTGTCTGTAGCCAGACTGGGTGCTAGTGAACAGCCAGCTTATCAGGTTACCTATGGAGGATAGCAAAAACATTCCCTTCAGTTTAGCTATATTAGGGCAAATCTGCAAACACAGCAGTTCACAGGAACTATTCTGCTGAGTAATGCTTCAGTTTTGAGGTTGGAAACAGACTTGAAGTAATACTGTGGACATATTATCTTTAATTGCTGTTATCAAATTTGCCTAATTAAGATGATCCCATCTGTTTTCCTGAGCTTAGAGGATATCAGTCATGATAAAGTGGTTTGGCTGAGGGGAGGGGTGCACCCTGTGGCCTGTAACCTCTGCAGTGAGGCTGCATGCATGACTTGATGTGGTGCTGTCAGTGTAAAAACCAAGAACCAGTCATGTCCCAGTGGGATCCCTGAGGAATGTGCTTGTTGACTTCAGCAGGTTTTGTGTTACATACATGAGGTAATCTACAAATAATTTTCTGAGATTATTACAGCCCAAGGATGACTTATGAAATGGAATTATTGATATTCCAGCCTCTTTATTAACTATATTTCTTTATAGGTAGTGATAAAACTGTAAGAGTTAAGAAATTTATATTTTTAAATAGCAATCCAGTGGCTATAAGCAATCTAGGAGACTCATGGAGTGTGTAGAGATGTTTTCCTGGTCCAGGCATTACAGAAGAGAAGGATTATGGGTGCTGGTGCTTACCAATGCAGATGAGCTCATTAGAGGGGCTAAGATTGGTGGCAGCCTGGACTGCAGTGACCACTGCCTGGTGGAGTTTGTGAGGATTGTGAGCCTGACAAGGAGCGAAGTCAGGATCCCAAACTTTGAAAGAACAGACTTCCAGTTGTTTAGGAGCTGGTGAATAAGATTCCCTGGAAAACTGTCCTTAGGGACAAAGAAGCTGACCAGAGCTGGCAGCTCTTAAAAATATTTTTCTTAAAACTAGGTGATCTTTAAGGTCCCATCCAACCCAGGCTATTCTGTGATAATTAATTGAATGATTAGCTGAATGATTGAAGTGCTTTGCCATTATTACTAAAGTGTATATATATGTAGTTTCTGCAAGCTAGGAGTTTTCTCAGAGCATGATTTTGGAAGGGAACGTGCTCTTCCTGTTTCAGGATGATACAAAAGTACAAGAACAGTTACATAATTACTGTCTTTCAAATTCTTCTATTAATTTGTGATCAGAAAGTGCTGAGGGAAGAAAACAGTTTACCAACTTTATACATTCTAGTAGTCATGAGCCAAAGGGAAAATAAAGGTTTGTATGACATTTTACTTGAATAATCTGTGATTTTTGATACAATTAAAACTAAAAGAAGAAAAATTGTAGTAATAGCTACTTTAGCACATTACTGCTACTGAAATC